GTCCTTTACCATCCTAATGATGACCAACATGTTCCAGGCATGGCCACAGTCACTGTGTAAATGTTAACCCAACTCCTTGAGGGTCTTCTTTTCTCTCTCTCTGACCCTCCTCCTTTCCTAATAAGTTGTCTTTTCCTAAGGACCAGCTTCTACTGACAACTTGTCTAAAGATTATGAGGCAAAGATTCACCATTCCTTGCTTCTAAAGATCACTCAGGTTGTATTTCCTTCAAGACAGATTTGTCGGTTGTTTTGGCAGTCCATAGTCTAGGCAATACTCTTCTTCAACACCATAATTCAACAGCATCAATTCCTTTTGTTATCAATGTTCAGTCCAACTGTAAGATGCATAACAAACAATTAAAAATACCATGCATACTTTAGCCTTTAAATTGACATCCTTGTTTTTTAGCGCTTTGTAAAGGTCCTTGACTTCAGATTTTCCCAAGGCAATATATCTTTTGATTTCTTGATTGCTGATACTTTGGATGCTGATTGTGGATCCATGTAAATGGAGTAATTGACAGCTTCAATCTTTTCTTCATTCATGATGATGGTGCCTATTGGTTCAATAATGAAGCTTTTTTCCCCCTTAATGTTGAGATGTAATCCACATGGAAGGACGTAATTTTTAAATCTTATGCATTTGTTGTTGTTAGGTGCTATCAAATTGAGTACAACTCATAGCAACACTATGAACAAAAGATCTGAACCCTGTTCTAGCCTGCACCATCCTCACACTTCCTGACACACAAGAGCTCACTGCAGCAGTCACCATGTCAACCCACTTGGTTGAGGGTCACTGTTTCAAATCCTTTTAATTTTCAGTAAGCAAAGCTCAGCATACAGACAGAATATTAATTAGAATGGATATAACCCTGATATATATATTTACTAATTTTAAACCATAGAGTATTCCCTTGTTCTGTTTGGACAATAGCTTCTTGATCTAGGTAGAGGTTTTGCATGAGCATAACTAAATGCTTTAATTAGATGGGACACATCCTCTGACTGAGGCAGAGGCACCTTGGGCTGGCAGACACACCATCTTTATTTACGCAGACTAGCCTAAGCTCCTTGGAGGCCAGAAGAAACTTGGATCCACACCCAGTGTTAGTTAAACATACACATTTTTTACTTTCTTCTTTTTTTTAAAAAATGCATACTTAGACTCTTGAAATCTATGGGAATTTAGACATTTGTATAGCAAATGGCTGCAACACAACAGACTCAAGCATATCTGCGATTGTGAGGAAAGTATAGGACTGGACAGTGCTTAATTTTGTTACACATAGTGTTGCTCAGAGTTGGACCCAACTTGATGGCACAACAATAGCAGTGACGGGAGAGCGGGGGGAAAGAGTAATAGAAAAGGCAGAGGTATTAATGAAAATGTCAGCCACATTAAAAAAAAATTGTAGTGTGTGGAGAAAAAGCAGCAGAAAAACATACTTGGTAATAAAGGTGTCGCTTGAAGATCTCTATTCCATGATAAATGAGAAAGAATGGACGTCAACGTAGTAAACATGTCCCCAGACACTTGACCTATCTATTGTAGTATATTCCGGGACTGTTTTTATATTCCCTGATTTCTCAAGTTGTATTATTTTCTGTGTGTATTTTTGATAATAGTGATTTCATAGTAACAATTCCCAAGAACAGGGTTATATTTTAAGTCCAAAATATTGTATATTTTCAGATATTTTATGCTACAAATTACTGTTTCTGGAGGAGAAGGCTGGTGGGTACAAATATTGGTCAAGCATCAGGAAAGAATTGCAGTTTTTATCTACACTATTCATCAGAATTTCACAAATGTAAAAGTCAGGCCCTAGATCCCATGAAGCTGAAAAGTCTCAGAAATCGACCTGCTGATTTGTAGCTCTCAGATGTAGACTGCTGACTCTGCCACCCATGTCTGCTCTCTCTTCTGAGTTCAGTCCCATGATTTCTCTTGGAACTGGATCCAGATGGCCAGCATGAAAGTGGATCATGTAGAAACTGGACATGGTACATACATAAGACCTCTCTCATTTTCAGGATTGATCTCAAGAACATTGGACTGGAATGTGCAGGGAGGGCCAGTGGAACAATCATGATTTTATTTTTGTTTGTGAAAAACTAAGATTATTTTAGCAAAAGTTATTCAATAAGTTCCCATTTCATACATTCTCCCCTGTTTTAAAATAATCTCTCAACCTATATCCTGAAAGAAATATAGCTGCTTGTCTGAGTTATGTTATTCCTTAATTTCTAACCTAAATTTATGTATTACATGAGGCTTATTTTGGCTATACTTCATAGAGCAATGAGGCCACACATCATAGAGCAAATGTACTTCTGAGATAATCTTGCTTCCAAGAAATTCACAAATGAAAAACTTACAGCCAATAAATGACAGAAATGGAAATGTAGTACCATTCTTATTTATCAAGCTGGCAGAGATGTGATGGAGTGATAACCATCAAGTGGGGTGAACATGTAAGAGGTAAGTCCCTAGTATACGTTGTAGGGAGATATACAATAAAGTAAACCACATCTGTAGGGCAAGTTAAGATGATATCAGTAACATTTTATTCTTAAATGTATTTTTAAAAAAGAGATTAATACATTTTAAATTGTTGTTGTTGTTGGTTGCCTTCGAGTCAAGCACTACTCGTAGCAGCCCTATGAACAAAAGGCTTGAAGCCCCTCTACAACTATCAACATTTATTAAAGTTCATAGGGTTTCCGGAAGCATAGTATTTAGGAAGTGATCGCCACTCCTGCTTCAAAATCTGTCATGGTATGTTGATATTTTTATATGCCTTTGAGTCCCTTGCGATGTATAGCAAACCTATATACAGCAGCTCTGAACTCTTCCCTGTCCTGGGCCAGTCTCACTAACTCTGACACACCAACGCCCCAGTTACTGTATCAATCCATCTTATACAGGGTCTCCCTCTCTTGCGCTGCCCATCTACCCTTCCACGCATGATGTCCTTTGTAATTATATTCTGAAAAAATTTTTTCTAAAAAAATTGAAAGATACTTTAATGAGAAACATGGTTCAATGTTGTTGGGTTTGGTTTTTTTTTTTTTATTGATGTCTTTAAGCTCAGAAGAAAATTCTAAAATAATTTTTTACTTTCATTTTCTAGGGATTACTCCAAGGAGATAATCTCAGATTATGAATTTATCCAAATGTTTACAAACAGTAGTTAAATTAATCACAGAAAATCTGTATAGACTTTTCACAGATATAAAAATGATGTAACAGAATAATACGTAAGAGCATTGAAATAGTTCCATAATATAGTAAGTGCACAGTATAAATGTATACTATGTATAAAATACTATGTATTGTGTGAACCTGCTTTATTTTTAAGAATCTGTATGATATGCATGGCCACTGCTGATGTATGTGTGGTTCCTAGGCAAAGTTTGTAGTGGGACCTCAATTGATATTAGCAATTTGAGCTGCCCCAATATTATTAAGGTAATCATCTCTTTTTCTTGTTTTTCCATCTCTAGCTTTCTTATTGTTAATTGAATTAAACTTTACAAAGCAAATAGAATTTACACCCCTTCTGTTTTCTAAAATTGGTTATAATCTCCTCATTGTAATACCACTCTTCTGACTTCTGGTGTTTTCCTTTTCCATTCATCCATTCTTCCTAACTTTTCTTTTGTCTGAGCTTATCCTGTAACACACTATCCTTTCAATCATGTATGGTTGATTGTTCTAAGGAATTTTTCCTCCTTTTGGTTATTAATCAGCTTATAGGCCTGACCACAAAGTACTTATTGGGAGTTCTGGTGGACGGGTGGTAAGGAGTTGTGCTGCCAACCCAATGGTGTTGTTGTTGTTGTTATGTGCCATCGGGTCGCTTGCGACCCATCGTGACCCTATGTACAACATCTCTAAACTCTGCTTTGTCCTGTGCCAATCGCTCTGTCTCCAACACACCCATCCTGATTACCCTAGTCACTGAATCAATCCACCTCATAGGGGGCCTTCCCCTTCTGAGCTGTCCCTCCACCTTACCAAGCATGATGTCCCTCTCCAAGGACCTGTTCCTCCTTGCAACATGTCCAAAGTATGTTAGACGGAGCCTCAGAATCCTTGCCTCCAAGGAGCAGCCCGGTTTAACCCTTTCCAGGATGTATCTGTTTGTTTTCCTAGCAGTCCATGGTACCCTCAATACTCTTCTCCAGCACCACAGCTCACAGACATCAATTCTCCTTCTATCCTCCTTCATGATTGTCTAGCTCTCTGATGCATAACAAGTGATAACAAAGACCAGGCCCTGTATCAGATGCACCTTAGTCTCCAAAGAGACACTATTGCTTTTCAGTATTTTGGAGAGGTCCCTAACAGCAGACTTTCCCATGGCAATACATATTTTAATTTCCTGGCTGCTGGTGCCGAGAGTGTTGACTGTGGAACCAAGCAAACTGAAGCTGTAAACAATCTCAATCTCTTCACCATCCGTCCTGATGCTGCCAATTGGCCCAGTGGTGAGAATCTTTGTCTTCTTGACATTGAGCCTCAATCCATATTGGAGACTGCAGTCCTTGACCCTCTGCAGCAAGTGCTTCAGGTCCTCTTCAGTTTCAGCAAGCAGGATTGTATCATCTGCATATCACAGATTGTTGATAGATCTTCCACCAATCTTGACCCAATGGTAGATAGCTCAAATCTACTAGTTGCTCTGCAGGAGAAAGACAATCTCCTCCCATAAAATTTACAGCCTCTGAGAACCCTCTAGAAGGTCAGCTATGAGTTGGTTCTCACTTTATGACAACAACATAAGGTAGTTATTATTGTAGGTCAGTCACATGTTTTTATTTCTGTTTAAATAGTTTCAGATTTTTTTCAATGACAGTGCATGATTTTTGATTAATGAAAAGTTATTTTTAAAGTGAGATTGTGTATAAATGCATATAAGATATATTATCTATGCTGAAGGCCCAGCAAAGCATTTCTAATATGCAATCAACATATTATTGAAGCTTACCTGAACATTTTTCCCAGTCATAGCAGGTATCATAGCCACAGGATTCTTTCTTTGTGCTATTGGATGAGAGCTCCACCCTTTCAAGAGCCCACTCTAAAGGTGGGCCACTATGGCAGGAACCACTATGGAGAAAATGTAATTGCTGCTTATTCAAACATTTTGTGGCCAAAAACACACAAGCAGGTGAAGTGAAATGCTGGTTGGAGGCTGTATCAAACACACAAATGTCTTCTGAATTAGAGCTGTTGAAGAGAAGAAAGCAAGTATTTACATATGAAGGCCAGAAAGAAAGAAAGGGTATATAACCAATATATTGTTAACTTACTATTTAGTTTCTTCTTTCTCCTCCTTTTCTTTTTCCTAAACTTGTTTCTTTCTATTTAATCCCTTCATTTAATCTTCATGCTCCTTAGGATTTATCTTTCTAAAAATCCATCCATTATAACCTTAACTCCCAATTACCCAGAAGTTAAAGCCTGAAGTCTTAAATGCTGAGTAATCAATTAACTTACTTCCTACTCTTATTTCTCATTTCCCTAAATCTGTCCTCATTACCTGACAATTGTATTTATCACATCACTTGATAATTGTACTCATCATCAACTAACCTGCAAAACAAGGGTCACTACATGAGATAAAATGAAAAGGTCGGTATTTGGAATTTATGTAGAAGTGCCTAGAAATGATGGTGTACTTCTGAAAGGTCCATGGATGGCAGTTCTCCCCTAACACATAATGGAGTCACCGTGATTTGGAATGAACTTGACAGCCACTATTCGTTTACACTTTTTAACCTGAAAACATTGTTTTTCCATTGCTGCTATCCTAAGCCCTACTCCCTCATCAATGCTTTCTCTCTTCTCTGTGTTCAACTCAGTTATTGACTGTACTCTGAAACTTTCTTTGAGCAGTCTAGCCTGTGATAGTCTGAAATTTTGCTTTGAGGTGTATTTGGTTCTAACTTGTCACAACACCACACACAATAGAACAAAACATGAACCAGTCTGTCAGAGGCCTAACTTACTTGCAAAGCAATATTAGCCCTGTACTGTGAAACCAGCAAGACTAACTTCATCTTGGCTAGAAAATCTGCTTGGCAATATACAACCCTAGGAAGCAGGATGTTAATGAATAAGAGTGACCAAAGGTCTTAGATCTTAGGGAATGTTATTTACCGAAACTCTTGTTTCTTAGAGCTCTCAAAAAGACATGCTGTAAAACATCTTTGTATTGTGCTGAGGTCTGTAAAACATCTTTGTATTGTGCTGAGGTCTGTGAGAGTTAATGTTTGACCTGATAGTCAACATCCTGGATGGAAAGAAATAATGAGATGGCTACTGCAGAGGTGCTCCTAAAACCTATATATGCTTTTGAAAAATAAACGTTTGTCACTATTCGTCATTAATGGGTAGTCTCTCCGTGTCTTCATTTCATCCTGGTACCTGCTTTTGGCGGAATTCTCCCTACATATCGGGGCTGGATCCCCGATACCAGTCTCGTGTCATCTTCACAATCATTTCTGCGCTTGAGTCCACTGTTGCAGTCACAATACTAATTCATCTCATGGAGGGTTTTCCTCTTTCATTGACCCTTTACTGTACAAAGCATGCTGTCCTTCTCTAGGGACTGCTACCGTCTGGTAATATATCTGAAGTCAATAAGATGAAGTCTTGCTATCCTTGCTTGTAAGGAGCATTCTGGTTGTACATTTTCCAAGACAGATAAGCTTATTGGAGGCAAGGATAGCAAAGCTTTGTCTCACATACTTTGAAAATGTTATCGAGGGAGGCTGTTCCTTGGAAAGAGACATCATGCTACGAAAGATAGTCTGTTAAGGAGAGGGAGACCTTCAATTAGATGAATTGACATGGTGACAGCATCAATGAGCTCAAGTGTATCAAAGAGGATGAAGGTGGCAAGATAGGACAGGGTTTGGATCTGTTTTTCATAGGGTCACAATGAGCTGTCCTCGACTCAATGGCACCTAACAACTGAACCCTAACTTTCACTGGATGGCATATCAATTCACACAGCTTCTTATAAAATCGTATTAAATAGTTTTAAAGTATGGTCACATAGTTATTAAGAATGTGAGCTTTGAAGTAAGTCTCTATATCATTTTTACCATTAAGACATAATAGGTGCCTAACTTGGGAGGGACTGGAGAGTCTTATGTTGCATGAACTCAGTCCCACAAGGATAAATATTGTATAAAACCAATATTGTAGAATGAGTATAAAGATCTAAGAGGGGTGGGAGAGGTTGGAAGCAGAGGGATGAGGATGTGCAGGAGGAGGGGGAATTAATCATGGTTTGTACAATTTGATTGGTTGGGGGGTGAGAGAAATGGCAAGAATTTGTTCTTGAGAAAAACCCCTATTTTAATACTAAAAAGAAAAAAAAAATACCAGGTAACTATCACTTTTCTTTTGCTGAGAAGACAAGATCTTAGTTATTCCAAATTTGTGTTTCTTCTTTGATGGCAAAGATAGTCAATAACCATCGCACTAGTCTGTATGATTGTTTCCCAAAACTTGCCTTGAGAGCCCACAGCTGAGAACAATAGGCTGCTTGCTAAAATTTAGAGACTCTTACTTGTGGATCCAAACACTGCACAAACCCCTTTAACTTCGAACAAAAGAGATCTGAACTATGCAGATAAGGGCAAGCAAGGTATGGTAATGTTGAGAGAGGAACTCTAAGGAATATTTTGTATTTCTACTATTTGGAATGGAAAAGACTAAGAAAACAATTTTTAAGCGAACCATGTGAAAAAACGTTATTATTTCCAAGAAAGTTACTTGTTGTATGAGATCCTACAAGAAAAGAAGACATGTAGAGGACTACTACATCAGTGGTGTTAGCTTAAATGGAAGCTTTTTTAGCCATTGCCTTAGCCCCCTTGGGTTTCCAACTACCTTAATTGTGGATGTGTGGTCTGGAAAATCATAATGGTCTCACAAATCAGCAACAGCTGGGAGATCACTACAGGAACACACTCTGTACTCCGGAGTGTGTGTACAAAACACCAACATAGGAGGGACAGTGTAACTGTGTTTAAGCATTCAGCAGCACCCATCCTGGCCCACTGCTTGCTCTTTTCTGTGATAAAAACAGACTGCACACGTGCAATCATGTGACTTATTCCCCAGAAGAGTCTAAGTCTCTGAAGAACCTTCTAGCAAATGTATCACTGAACTCAAAAGACCGTAACAGAATTGGGGAAATGAGCATAGATGAAGTTAACTTCAGAAATTATGGATTTATTTACCTGGATGAGAATTTATGATTATGTTGACCTGAGGCTTCTGAATTATAGTGTTCTATTAATTTTAGTACATAGTATAATAAAAACTAACATCTTTTGGTTGAATCGTTTCCATGTTAGTGGACTAAATAGAAAAAGATTCTTGTAGCATTCTTCAAAAAACCCTAATAAATGTATTGTGTTTTTAAAAAAAATTACGTTTACTTTATATGGCTTGTATACAAAATTGTATGCATTATGTTTCACTGGTATACATTGTGTTTAACACATTCCTTCATTCACATTGTGTTTCATAAAATCATTTCCATAAGCTGTCTTATGAAATTAATCAGCACTTATCTACATCCACTATTACTGTGTCTTTTCTGATCCCCACTGGATCCTTCCTATTTCTTTCAACCCCATCACTTCACCCACCAAATTCTAC